GGTGAGAGGCTTCACCAGAGACAGAGTGGGGAGCAGAACAGGCAGATTGACGAAGTACACTGCTGAGGGGAGCAGCGGGCGGGCCAGGAGAGGGCTGTTGTGCCAAGTGGATCTCCTCGGGGGCAGGCGGGGATCGAACTCATGCAGAAGTGGCTTTAGCTTCTCAGTGCAGTGCTTTAACCCGCTGCGCCACCAGGGAGGGCCCAATATTTTTCATTTTTTAAGATTTTTTTTTTATATCATTGGTCTGGGCACAAGGGACTATGCTCACTGGTGCTATGGCAGTGCGAGCACTGCGGGGACTAGACAAAAGGAGAGCAGGATATTTTAAAAACAAATAACTGATCCCTATATGAGGATACTAAATAACCAAACCCTTCTTTAAAAACTTGTAAATAAAGGAAAATAATAAGCCTTTAGTTCAACCTTCCTATACAAACCAAATAGTCAAAGATAATTTCTCATTAATGATAGACTTATGAAAAAAGTGAAAAGAGAACTCATCACAGAATTGAGAAAACTTTGTTAGTCATGTTTCTGGTAAGAGATTTATATCTAGGATGTATGCACTATTACAAATAAATAAAAAGGTAAATACAATAAAAAGTTCTATTTTTAAAACAGGCAAAGAATCTGAAACGATATTTTTCTAAGATATACAAATAGTCATTAAGCATATGAAATATATTTAAAACATTGGTTATCAGGAAAATGCAAATATAAACTACACCTGATAGCAGGGATAGGGGAAAATATCAAATAACAACAAATACTGATGAGTATGTGGAGAATCTAAATGTGCAAACACTGCTAATGATAATGTAAAATCATATAATCACCTTGGAAAATGACCCAGCATTTGGAATTTTGTAAAATGTAGAGTTGCCATATGACCCAGTAATTCCTCCCTTAGCAAAGATTTAAGAGAAAGGAAAGCATGTAACTACATAAAGCATGTACAAAAAATGTTTACAGCTGTACTATTCACCACAGATGAAAAGTAGAAAAAGACAAATGACCATCCATACGTAAACAAAATGCGGTGTACCTTATTCCACAGAATACCATTAGACATTCAAAAAGAGGAATAAAATACTGCTATATCATGCTACAGTATGGATAAGCCTTGAAAATATCAAGCTAAGTAAAAAAGTCAATACTAATGATCATGAGCCAACAATCTCATTCATAAAGAATCCATAATAGGGAAATCAACAGACAGGAAGTAGAGCAGTTGTTAATTAGGGCTGAGGAAGGCCAGAGATAGATAGGAAATGAGAGCTACAGGGAACAGGATTTCTTTCTGATATGATGAAAATAGTCTAAATATTCTAAAATGACTGTGTAGATGGCTGCACTTATCTATGAGTATACTTTAAATGGATTAGTTATATGGCAGGTGAAGCACACCTCAGTAAAACCATTTAAAAAATGAGAGAAATTAAATAGAACAGCAATAATAAAAGTAGAATATCCATTGTGCGATCCCTAACCACTAGTTGGATCTAAGCATCCAGCTACAGCACCCAAAGAAAAGACAGTTTTCTATCATCTGCACCTACTAAAGCACCACTTATAAAGAAGACTTAAAAAAATTAATCCTATATTTAATTAAGCCTTTGAATCTAACTATCTACTTACAGGAAATACAAAGGAAAAGAAAACAAGGTCAAGATACCAGCAGGGAGGGCCAACCCCAGCACCTTTCAATGGCAGGTTTTCATTTGCTGACCCAAGAGAAAGGTGTGACACAAGTCAGCAATTACCTTTGATTTTTCTTCATTTTCTCTATAAAATTCTGCCATCTGTTCTTCCTGTTCTTCAATAACATCCTTGAGGGTATCTACTTGGTAGATCAAATTGTTCTTCTCATTGTCTAATTGTGCATTGGAAACCATGGCTTTCTTGTATTTTTCTTCTACTTCTGACAAAGACTCCTAAATGAAGTCAAAATCATTAGACAAGTATCTAAGTATGTTCACTGCTTATATGCAATAACGGGAAATTAAAAATATAACAGGAAATTAAAGCACTGGCACAAACACACAAAGATGCATTTTTGCAAAATATAAGCAGTTTAGGGAATTCCTTGTTTAGTAACATGCACATAAAAAGGGAAGACAATAATAGGCCAATAATGCATTCATAAGAGCTATATATATTCTCTGCTAACCAATAAAACAAGATTAAGCAGCAGTGTTGCCTTTGAGCAATAAAGAGGCGTACAAACAACATATATTTGTGAGAGTTGCATCATAGAGAGTCATCACTGTTTTCAGAAATGTTATTTTGGTAGTTTTTAAGAACAAGCTAGTTGGTGTTCACAATGTAGATATACAACAGATTATGATCTCTTTATATAAGTAAACTTAATACTCAGTTTGCTACATACTGAAAGTTTATTTTTAGACTTTCCTATTCTGCATAATAATGTTAACATAAATGCATAAATATTTTTCTAGTAACTATTCAAATTTTAGTCATTTTAAATCAAAAATATTAAAGACTAACTAAAAAAGAACAAACAAAAAATGCCTTAACTTTTATTTATTTCAAAGCTCTCTGCCTAAAGTAGCTTGTGAATATGCTTTTTTATAACTCTATCTAGTATGATAGATCACTACTACCTGGTAACTGTTTTTAAGCTAAACAGAAATATATATCATACAGAAAAAGCAATTATGTATGGATATAAATTTAAAAGACATTAACACAATGTTTATCAGAGATCAATCAACTAGAACTGAGAGTTCAGAACTTTATAGTCATGCTCAACTGACTTTCGACAAAGGTGCCCAGAAAGCGTAATGGGAAAAGAATAATTTTCAACAAGTAGTACTGAGGCAAATGGATAGTTATATGCAAAAGAAAACACAGGAGTAAATCTTCATGATCTTGAATTAAGCAATAACTTCTTAGATCTGACACCAAAAACACTCTCAATGAAAATAAAAATAGATTTCACTAAAACTAAAAAATTTGAATTGCAAAAAGGCCATCCCACAGGATGGGAGGGATATTTGTAAATCTTATATCTAGTAAAGGACTTGTATCCAGAATATCTAGAGAGCTCTTACAACTCAATAATAAAATTTAAAAAATAGTTAATTTTAAAATTGGCAAGGATTTGAAAAGATATTTCTTCAAAGAGAATATACAAGTGGCCAACAAGCACATAAAAACATGCTCAACATCACTAATTAGGGAAATGCACATCAAAGATAATGGGATATTATTTTAGATCCACTAGGATGGCTATAATATATGATTTTAAAAAATATATAACAGGCATTGGCAAGGATGTGGAAAAACTAGAAGCCTCATACATTGCTGGTGGGAAAGTGCAACTGCTTTGGAAAAGTCTGCAGTTCCTCTAAATGCTAAACATAGAATCACCATATGCCCCAGGTATTCCATTCTAGATAATTACTCAAGAGAAATGAAAAGATTTATCTATACAAAAACTTAGATACAACTGTCCACAACAGCATTATTTATAATAGGCAAAGACTGGAAACAACCCATATGTCCACCAAGAATATTACCTTACCATTAAAAAACATACATATACTAATACATGTTACAAAATAGATAAATCTTGGAAACTTGCTAAATGAAAAGTCAATCAAAAAAAGGGCAAGAATATTGTATATGACTCCAGTTATATGAAATGTCTGTAACAGGCAAATCCATAAAGGAAGTAGATTGGTGATTATCTAGGGTTGAATGAGAAAGGGGAGTCAGGAATGAATTAATACGACATAGCTAAAAAAACCATTGAATTGTACACTTTAAATGGGTAAATGTTATGATATGTGAATATTATCTCAACATAGATACATACATACACTTAATAATGCTTCACAAAACAAAAGTATGTTAACAGGCAACATTTATACTAGCATTGGTAATAACTATAATGAAAATAAAGAACAGAAGCAAACTCAATGGTAGTATTTTAACATAATACAAGAGTTTAAATGATTCTTTTTTTTTTTTTAAAGATTTATTTATTTATTCATATAGAACTGGGGTACAGGCCAGAGATGCGGAGGGTGAGAGGATTCACCAGAGACAGAGTGGGGAGCAGAACAGGCAGATCGACGAAGTACACTGCTCAGGGGAGCAGCGGGCGGGTCAGGAGAGGTCTGCCACGCCATGTGGTCTCCTCCGGGGCAGGCGGGAATCGAACTCATGCGGAAGTGGCTTTAGCTTCTCAGTGCAGTGCTTTAACCCGCTGCGCCACCAGGGAGGGCCTAAATGATTCTTTTTTTAAAAGGTTTATTTATTTATGCATACAGAACTGAGGAACGGGCTAGAGGTATAGGGGTGATGAGAGGATTCCCCAGAGACAGAGTGGGATGCAGAACAGGCAGATCAACGAAGTACACTGTGGAGAGGAGCAGTAGACAAGACAGGAGAGGTCTGCTGCGCCATGTGGGTCACCTCGGGGTGGGGGAATCGAACTTGCACTGAAGTGGCTGCAGCTAGTTTGCAGTGCTTTGTTCTAACCCACTGTGCCACCAGGGAGGGCTTCAGAGTTTAAGTAATTCTGATCCATCTTAGAAGCTCATACATTGCTGGTGGGAAAGTATAATAGTGCAACTGCTTTGGAAAAGTCTGCAGTTCCTCTAAATGCTAAACATAAAAAATGTTCTCCTCACAACTCAGTCCCAGACAAAATGTGGCTTATCTGCTTGAACACTACAACCTAAGATATTTTATCTGTAAAAACAAGGATAGAAATACCTAATACAATAAATTTAACATAAAATTTGTGGAATGTGGTCTTCCATTAAATACTAGCCCACAGATAACTTTTAAGTTTAAATATGAAGGTAGTTTAAATTATTCTACTCTAACTACATAGTGATATCCATTAGGAACTAGTTTTATTTAAATGTGTATAAGGCAGTGATTTTCAAAATGTGGGTTCTGGACTAGCAACAACAGTATTACTGAAGAACTGGCTAAAAATGCAAATTTTCAACCCCATTTCAGACATACTGAATTAGAAATTTTGGTAGTAGAGTCCAGCAATATATATATGTGTGTGTATATTTAATAAGAATTAGAGTGATTTTGAATGGAAGGTAGAGTGGGGTAAAGTACCTCAAAGGCAGACATACTCAAGAATACTGTTATTAGCAGTGGTCCAACATCTTTATTTAGCAGGACATGGATGGAAATTACTACTTGGCAGTTAAAGATGAAACATAGCAGTATGCTCTGCTGCTTCTCCCTGCTTCCTGCCCCACTTAATTTTAATCTGGAGGACCTGAAGGATGCCTATTATCTGAAGGTACAGACTGGGAAGCCTTCATGCTTTCTATTCAACTGTAACTTGGACTTTGCTTCAGTGTCAAAGTGGAGATCTTACTGTTGTGAAAATAATATAAATAAGCAAACATTATTCTATTAATTCACTTGTGAAGAATAATCAGTTCTCAGAATGCTGTGGAATTTTAGTTGGCAACTACATATTTCATCTTTTAAAAATGTATTTAGGTCCTCCCTGGTGGCGCAACAGGTTAGGACACAGCACTGCAAGCTAACTGCAGCCACTTCAATGTGAGCTCAATCCCCCACCCTGGAGGTGACCCACATGGCACAGCAGACCTCTCCTGTCTTGCCCACTGCTCCCCTCAGCAGTGTATTTCAGTAGATCTGCCTGT